GTAACAAAGAATTAAGGTTTCTCAACAATAAGAAAACGATTGTCTAGAAGAGCAAGGCGCCTAAACTGCGAGGCTGCCTGGGATGCCTACTTTTTTGTCTCAAGACCTACTCTCGTGACTTCGCATGGATAAACAAAAGTTCTTTTTTGAGAATCTTCCTAGTATCCTGCCTGACCACCCTAAAATATTCTGGAGCATAATATCCCCTAACTAATGTTCCTCCTCTATCCAGCAAACCGATGAGGACGGGTCCCTAATATCTGAAACTAACTGTGAAACAGTATTAAATGTAGTAGAGTGGACAGATGGGCGAGTTTGTAGATATTGAACATAGTTACAGTTGCGCACAAAAGGACAAGCACAGAGAAGAGGAACAAATAGACGGCACACACAACTCATGTATTAACAAAAGAGGAAAAGAAAGTGGTACAGAACGCGGAATCCGCTCGAGCGTTGGCCACACAGGCACGAGGGACCACAGGCCCGAGGGCTCGAGTGGGACACGCAAAAATTACCCACACAGAAAAGATTTTAAGAAGGCAATGTTCTCCTCTGTTAAAGGCCGACGTACAACCTCGGCTTTCTGGAGGGAAGATAATCCTCTTATCGCTCCCCTCTCCTAAGCTGCGAGGGAAGTCAAGTTGGGGCAAGGTAAAAAGTGGAGAGGATATAGGAAAGGAGGAAGCGGGCAAAAGCGGAAAGCGCGAAATGTACGTCGGCCTTTAATGAAACAGACGGAAAGCTAACACATCGCTCGCCCATGCTTAGGATAGTAAAGGCTTCGAAAATGTCTCTCGTGTGTTTTTCTCGGTACCTGCCTATTATCTTGGTTTTGGCTAAGGATGGCTTACAATTACAGGATTTACAGTGCAGGGGTAAATGGCCCCCCACCGTAGACTTTAGAGAGAGATTGTGCTCTCGTAGCCGGTCGTTCACACACCGTCCGGTCTGTCCAACGTAGCTTTTACCATATGAAAGGGGGATACTATATACTACAATCAGGAAGCAGGACACATAAAAGTGGGAGTGGGTCTTGTGGCACATACGTTTTTTTTTTTAATTTTTTGCCTTAGCATGAACGTTTTGACAAATTTGAGCCATATTTGGTTGGCTCACATCACTAAAGGAACCCCGTACCGGCTAGCCACCTTTTTTAAGATTGTGGGAAATTCTACGCGGATATGGGATGAACACAATTTTTTTTTTTTTTGTCAAAAGCGGGCTTAGGTTTTTGAGCTCCCCCCACTCTCTTGACCAGTGTTCCCACTACCTCAGTTAGCACCTGCAAATTGAAAGCCCGAAGATGTCAGCCTGTCAATTTGAGCTTCAAAATCACAAAACAAAAGCGTGATTTGGAGGCCGATAAAGAAGGCTGATTCGTGGTAATGCCTGAAGGCATGTACAATGAAAAAGCCTGCGCAGCAACACAAAAGAACTTTTGACAGGTGCAGATTGGGATGAAAACTGTACAGAGCCAGGCTCTCAGTCTGTTTGAACGTCTCACGTTAACACAGTTAGCCGCCAACATAAGAAAAGCAGAAGAGCTGCACTTAAAAATCTTGTTTAGTGCCAAAACACACAAGGAAGCATGTTCATTCCGAGCTTTTGTCACTGTAAGAGGTTCGTGGCAACGGCAAGTGTCGACATATTCGTAAAAACATCTTTCAGGGTTAAAAATAACGACCCCCTTTTTGATCAGCAATTCGGAGGCTGTTCTTGAATTTCTGAAGAGAAATGACTTTAACAATCACAGTGTCTTCAGCGTGGATGTTCAGGACCTCTTCTACTCACTTCCCCATGATTCCTTGCTCGCCTCTGTCAGGTCCTGCATTGAGTCACGTGATGAACTTTCGTTCCGGAACTCAAGTGGGGTAACCTTAGAAAGTTTCCTAGACTTCTCCTTTTCTATCTTAATTCCACTTTCATAGGGTGGCAAAAAGGGTTTATTTGCAAAAGTCGGGTGTGTGCGTTGGCTCATGTGTAGCACCGGTTTTAAGCGGTTTTTCTTTCGGGTGTTGACCGTGCTATTGAGTCTTCCATTGATCCTACGGCTGTTACAAAATTGTTTAAATATGTCGATGACTTCCTGTTAGTGTACAAAAAAGAAACAGTCAATGATGATCTCTGTAAGACAATAAACATTTTCCACAAATGTGGTTTAAAACTTGTCTTTACCCGTGAAACGCCAAAGGAAGGAATTTTGCAATTTCTGGACATATCGCTTTCCCTGCTACCCAATCACCTGTGCTGGACCTTTTCCCCTCGTTCCAAGAAAGGCATCGTAAACTACACGTCCTCTCACTCCAAAGTCGTTAAAAGGGGTACAGCTATGTCATGCCTTACAAGCTCATTAAAAAAGTCTTGTTTTCATACCCTCCAATGTAGTTTTGAAGCTCAAATTGGAGAGGCTGACATCCTCGGGCTTTTGAATGCAGGTGCTGACTGAGGTGGTGGGAACACTGGTCAAGAGAATGAAGGGAGCTCAAAAACCTAAGCCCACCTTTGACAAAAAAAGAATTGTGGTCGTCCCCGTATATGCATAGAATTGCTCACAATCTTAAAAAGGTGGCTAGCCGGTACGGAGTTCCTTTAGAGACGTCAGCCGCCCCCCCCCCCCCCCCCCCCCATAAAAGAAGGGTAAAATGTGCCAAAAACTTTATGCTAAAGTAAAAAAACAACAAAAAAAAACAACATATGTGCCACAAAAACCACTCCCACTTTTATGTGCCCTGCTCCCCGAGTGTAGTATGTAGTATCCCGCTTTCATGTGGTAAACGCTACGTTGGACAGACCGGACGGTGTGTGAACGACCGGCTACGCGAGCACAATCTCTCTCTAAAGTCTACGGTGGGGGGCCATCGACCCGTGCACTGTTAATCCTGTAATTGTACGCCATCCTTAGCAAAAACCAAGATAATAGGCAGGTACCGAGAAAAACACACCAGAGAGATTTTTCAAGCCTTTATTACCCTAAGCCTGGGCGAGCGATGTGTTAGCGTCCTGTCTGTTTTATTAACAGATGAGGAAATTTTCTTCTTAAAACCTTTTTCGTGTCGGTAATTTTACATGTCACCCTCGAGCCCTCTGGCCTGTGGTCCCTCGTGCCTGTGTAGCCAACGCTCGAGCGGATTCCGCGTTCTGTACCACTTTCTTTTCCTCTTTCGTTAATACATGAGTTGTGAGTCTGCGCTTGCCTGTCGTCTACGTGTTCCTCTTCTCTGTCCTTGTCCTTGTGTGCGGAACTGTAACTATGTTCAGTATTAAATGATTTTTTGTCTGTGTTTACATTAGAAGACGCCGGCGTCCCTATATTACCAACACTACCGTATGAGTCTATGGAACCTATTGACATCTCATGTGTTGGGATAGCTAACCTCCATGATACATTGAAATTTTCATCCTCTGAAGGACCTGACTACATCACCCCCTAACTTCTTGACTACAGCATAGCAATATCTAGCGAATTTCCTACTTAGTATTCTCGCAGTCTTTATCGCAGGGTTGCCGACCATCCGACTGAAAACTGGGTAAGGTCGTTCCGGTCTTCAAAGATGGGAATCGTTTTTCGGCTTCGAATTACCGACATATATGTCTAACGTGCGTAGCCTCACAACTTCTAGAGCATATTATTTACTCAAACGTCGTATCTCACCTTGAGAGAAACAACTTCTTTCACAACAAGCAACACGGTTTTTGTAGAGGACTGTCTTGTAAGACGCAGCTCGCAGAATTCACTAACGAGTTATACACTAATTTCGAATTCAAACACCAAACTGATGCCCTACTTTTACTTTTTGAAGGCTTTCGACCGCGTTGCCCACAGTCGCCTTTTGCCAATCTTCCATTCCTCGGAATTGACCCTCTCGTTCTCTCCTAAATCCAGGATTTCCTCTTCTGTCGCACTCAATTCGCCACAATAATTAGTTCCCCATTCACCCTCGCTGAGGTTACCTCGAGAGTCCCACCGTGCAAGGGCGAATGCTCCAGGTAGATTGGGCGGAAGCGGATTCGCATGGAGCGTTAGGTTTGCAGAACTGTGCACGACTTACTTTTAATTTGCCTTGTTTTAATAATGACCATTTCCCTTCACGTGGTGGCTCTTGGATTTGAAATTTCGTCGGAACGACTCCAACGGCTCAAACGAGAAAGGTTTCGACATCCCAAAGCCCTTGCAACGTTCGAATTTTTCTCCTAATCATAATCAATAAGGTGGCGACACCAAACGACACAGTACGAGCTTGAACCCTGGAGTTGTCCCTCGGGAATCGCCTCAAGCCACGCTTCTTTGAAAGATTCTGTAGACGTGCATTTTGAAAAGTGCTATTGCAGGGACATTTCTTGATGCAGCACCGGCGCAACAGTGCCAGTGACGTCGCTGATCAAAGTTCGCTTCACTTTTTCTACAACTGGACCGCTTTTGAAAGTGTTTTGAAACGCCTAAGCAGAACAGGGGATCAAAAATATATTTAAACTCACAACTGACGCGTCCTCTGCTTAACACAAATGGGCGTCGCGAAGCGCAGAGCGATATTCGAGAGGAATCGGGTGATGAACAAGGGGGAAGAGGGATAGACGAGCGACACTTTCGGAATTTAGAGGACAGCGGAAAAAAAAAGGTAAAAGGTACACAAAACCTTTTTGACGTCACTGTAGTGCATAAAAACTTCACATCCGAATTTTGTTTTTGTTTTCTTTAACAAATAAGCCGTGTTCTCGTTTCAGCTCTTGTGTGCGACGTCTAGATATCAGGTCCAATCGGATGGTACATTAAAATAATTTTGGTGGGGTCAGAATAACATAAATTGAACTCTCTATATTTCACTCAAACCCTAGTTTAAGGGAGCATAAAACACAACTGTTTTTTGAATGGCGAGAGGTGTCTTCTATTTATTGAAATTACGATGCAGCCACATAAACGTTTTAATAGCAGTGATAGAATATCTTCGTAATCTTAGGGATATCGCAATTCAATAGAGATAGAAAAGTAAACTACTTCTCACATGTTCGCGTCTTGGTGCGAGCTTGCTGTTGAGGTAGTGCATCTGGAAAAGCTAAAAAAATAAACAACAAGGTATCACAACAAAATCGAGTCATTTTCAGTAAAATATATATGTTTGGCAAAGCGGTCACTATCACTGAAAAATATCGATCAAACTCCTTTGAATTCTGCCTGTAACAATTCATATTACAGACAAATCGATAATTAAAACTAATTATTTGTACAAAACGACTTTTTACAATAAATTAAAGAAGAACCTTCTTTAACAGATGTTACAACTCGCTGATCCAATGTTGAAAATAGGCTTGCACATTCACTTCAGTTTGTAGGTGTAAAGTGCATTGCACTCACTCATCATATGTAATTCACTATACTGCTTAAAGGCCGGTTGACACATAAATATGAGCGGGAATTCAGAGGTTGCCCGCATGATAAGCATAATATTAATAGGTTAGGAATATTTGAAAAAGGAAGCGTTACGATTTATCTTGAACACTTATGGCAGGAGTACTCATTTTTCAGAACTTTTTGTCCAGACCGGTCAACGTTTCTTGAAAAAACATAAACTAATGAACTGGAGTTTCTTTTTAATCTGATAAATGAAAACTATATTTGTTACAGCATAACTCTTTTAATTTTAATACACACAGAGCGTCAACAAACAAACTTTTTAAAACATTTGGTGAATGTAGATGTTCAGAACTATTAGTTTTTTCCACGTATAATTCACGAATAGAACTCGCTCCCCTGATGAAATGTCTCTTCAAATTGCGTGTTGTTATTTTCTATCTATTGAATATGTTGCCAGAATTTTTATTTTCATGCTTATTCGATATATGATGTACTTGTTCTTTTTTTTGTTTGTAATGAGATGCTCTTTTGTATACTATGTAATACTGACATGTTTTCTCAGTTTTTGTCCCGAGTTCTGCTTATTTAAAGAGTGTGGTGTTATGTACCAAATGTGGGTACCGTGGTGCAGTGGTAATTTGTGATTAAAATAAAGACACCGACTTCGCATAACCGAAAAAACAACTTCAATAGAAGTTTCGCTTCCCATACGAGAGGCGTCATCAGAACATACACAGAAATCAAATGTCCATATTATGCTTCCGGGAGTGGGCCACGGTTCTTGTTGCACTCTGACGCATCCACGCGGGGGGCACCTGTGAAAGCAGGTGTTTGGAGAGTGGCGTCTCCACGGACCCCGAGCGATGCGGGTTCGCCCGCCCACGCCCGGCTGTGCGTGGCTTTCCCATGTCTGGAGAAAAGGGCATCCTGGTGGTTGAGCCGAGCCCGGGGTAGGTTTGGACCCTTTGGGGCCCCCGGGCGAGGCAATACACCACTTCGGCCCCTGCTTCGCATAGGCGGGAGTCCTGGTAAGGCCCGGCCAGGATGATTCAGTCTAGTCGCCACTCCTTCTACTATCCCCTCCCTTCTTTCACCTTTGTCTTCTCCTTCTTTTCACTCTTCTCATTTCTCTTCTTTCCTTTTCAACTTCTTTGGCGGCAAGGGCTAACCTTTGGTGGCAAGAGATTTTTTTGTCTTGAACCACACTTGGTTATAGCGCCTTGGTAGTACTGGCAGAGCAACATACTCAGACAAGCCCTGACTGTTATGAGGTGCTGCCTGTCCCCTTGTTAGGCTCCGTGGTGGGCGGTACGCCACGGTTGCTGAATTTTCTCTGCCTTCTATGGCGTCCTCTACGAAAACCTCTTCAGGACAAGCGTCCAATCGGCCTTATCCTGAACTAACCAAAGCAAAAGATGTTGAACCTCCAACCTTCACAAGATTCTTTGTTATTCATTCTGAAGATGAACAGCGCCCCGTGGGAAAAAATGTCTCCTTTCGTTGTGGCAAAAGTTCTTGAGAATTTGATTGGGTATAATTACAAAGCAAATAAGATGCACTCCGGTGATCTCCTCGTCGAAGTGAACACTAAAGATCAAAGCATGGCGCTCCAGAGAAACTGTCCCGCATCGTAGATGTCCAAGTAGCAGCTGCCCCACACCGCACACTGAATACCATTCGAGGGATGCTCTCCGAGGACGACCTCCTACACTCTAGTGAAGAGGAAATTCTCGAAGGCCTCCGACCATCGGGTGTCGTTGCTGTAAAGCGAATCATTTTCAAACGAGATGGTGTGGAAACTCCAAGCAAACATGTTATTCTCACGTTCGAAAGACACACTCTCCCAGCATTCGTGAAGGCGGGATAACTCCACTGCCGTATCCGACCGTACGTACCGAATCCACTGCGGTGTTTTCGGTGCCAGCGGTTCGGTCATGGCGCTCGGAGCTGTCGAGGCAAGGACATCTGCGCATAGTGTGGAAGCACTGATCAGGTTGTTGATATCTGCGAGAGTGAAGTAAAGTGTGCTAACTGCGATGGTGCACATCCCGCCTACGCGCGCGCATGCCCCATATGGAAACAGGAGAAAGAGATCCTTTCGTTGACAGCCAAGGACAGCGTGTCTTACCCCGAGGCCAAGAAGCGCTTCTTTCTTGGCAAAGGGGGGCTTCCTCAAGGTGGTGCGTAGGAGGCTTGCACCACCTACCGAGCCTCGACCCTTCCAGGTTCCGTCTGGGAACCGGGGGGCCGTCGCTCAGCCCCCACCTACCAAAAAACCAGAGGTGGCGGCATGCCCTCCACCTCAGGGAGGTGGCACTGGTGCCCCTCCCACTCAGAGGGACAGGCTGTCAAACGATATGCCTGCCCTGATTGCTCGGTCTCCTTCTAGGAGGAAGGAGCGAGCCCTTCGCCCCAAGCCTCCCGAAGAGCCGTCCACATCTAAGCAGCAGCAGGCCCCTCCTGCTGCCTCCACCGTCTCACCTGAAGAGGAGCGGATGGATGTGAGTGAGTCTCCTCCCATCCGTTTGGCTCTTCCTGATGACTCAAAACTAAAGAAGCCATCCCAGAAGAAACCGATACCACGAGTAACCCTGCCCAAGCCGCCTGAGGGCGTCAAGGCAGGAACCCCTTATAAGTTATAACATATCGACCATAAGCAGTTACAGTTTCATGCAATGGAACTGCCGAGGATTGCTTCAGAACATTGACGATGTGCACTTTTTTCTTGATGAGCTGCGAACTCTAGCAGTCGCTCTGCAGGAGACTCATCTCAATGGCACTCATATGAACATGTTTCATCGTCACCATGTTTTTCGAAAAGACCGTACATCATCTCATTCTTCGGGTGGAGTGGCTGTTGTGGTACGAGGCGATATTGCATGCACGGCAGTTCCTCTTCGCTCACCCCTGGAGGCTGTTGCGGTGCGTATTCTTGCAGATCGTCTCACTACTACTTTCTCCCTTTACCTTCCTCCAGATGCTCCGATGGACTTTTACGATTTGCAGGACCTGCTGAACCAGCTGCTGAAGCCCTTTTTAATCTTAGGGGATTTTAATGCACACAACCCCTTATGGGGAAGTGCTCGGTTGGACAATCGTGGAAAGGTCATTGAACGTTTTTTACTTTCATCATCACTATGCTTTTTAAACAGCAAACAACCAACATTTTATAGCGCGAGCCATAGCACTTTTCCATGTATAGACTTGTCTATATCATCTGCTACATTATGTCCTTGTTTTTCATGGAGGGTTTTAGATGATCCTCTTGGCAGTGATCACTTTCCCATCGTTTTAGAAAATCATATTCCATTACCCACTATTTTAAAGCGAATTTTCTGATGGAAACTTGATGAGGCTGACTGGGGACTGTTCCAACTGGAGGCCACACTTGACTTGTTAATTCTTGAGAGTATGACACCAGAGGAGGCTACTTTATATGTTACCGAGCAAATCATAAATGTGGCACATCACTCTATTCCCAAGACATCCACAAACCTCCCAAAACGGTGCAATCCGTGGTGGACCCAGGAGTGCAGCACAACTAGGCGAAACCAGAAAAAGGCATGGGACACCTTTCGACGGTATCCAATTCCCAGAAACTTGGTGAAGTTTAGAAAAAGAAAGGCGAAGGCTCGGTGGACACGAAAGCAGGCAAAACGAACGTCCTGGAAGAAGTATGTCTCTTCCCTGAGCAGCGCTGCCTCCGCAAAAGAGGTGTGGGACCGCTACCGTAAAATAAGGGGTGACCACCGTGGCTTCATTGTTCCTCCTCTCTTCACCCCGTCTCCTGCATCGTTAAAGGATATTGGAAATGCCCTCGGCATGCACTTTCAGGGTGTGTCTTCCTCCGATAACTACAATGCTGCTTTTAAGTTTTTCAAGAGGAATGCAGAATATCAGCGACTGAAGTTATCAGGTGCAGATTCTGAACCTTACAACAAACCTTTTACGGTTTGTGAGCTAAGACTGGCTCTTGACACCAAGAAACAATCCTCACCAGGTCCCGATTCTATCCACTATGAAATGCTTCGTCGACTCTCCTTGGAATCGTTTGAACAGTTGCTTAAATTCTTTAACCGCCTCTGGGAAGACTCATACTTTCCCGACGCATGGAAATGTGCACATGTCATACCCTTCCTAAAACCAGGAAAGGACCCCTCATGTCCATCAAGTTACCGCCCAATCGCACTCACTAGCTGCCTGGGTAAGACATATGAGAGACTCATTAACAGGCGACTTGTATATTTTCTTGAAACTAACAATATTTCGGATAACTATCAGTGTGGTTTCCGAAAGGGTCGGTCCACTTTGGATCACCTGGTACGCCTTAAAACCTTAATTAGGGAAGCATTTGTAAACAGGCAGCATTGCGTTTCTGTATTTTTTGATTTAGAGAAAGCATACGACACTACTTGGAGGCATGGCATTCTTCAGGATCTCCTTACCCATGTAGTACGAGGTCGCATGTTCCGTTGCATTAAAGCTTACTTAAGGGGAGGAACTTTTCAGGTTCGGTTAGGCACCACTCTGTCCGATATCTTTGTACAAGAAAATGGGGTCCCGCAGGGAGGCGTCCTTAGTGTCACACTGTTTGCCGTCAAGATCAATACGATTGCTGAAGCGATACCACGTTCCATTGCATATTCGCTCTATGTCGACGACCTGCAGATCTCTTCTTCCTCTTGCAATCCT